CTGGGCCTGGGCCCTGTCTTTGAGCTCTTCAGCTCCAGGCTACTCTACCACTTGAGCCACAGCGCCACTTCCGGTTTTCTGGAGGTTCATTGGAGATAGAGTCTCATGGACTTTCCTCCCAGGCTGGCTTTGAATGGCAATCCTCAGAGCTCAGCCTCCTGAGTAGCTAGGATGACAGATGCCCCTTAGCTTTTAAATTTTTTTTTCTTTCTCAAGTCTAGGACTCTCCACTTGAGCCATAGCTCTACTTCCAGATCTTTTCAAAATACTTTATAAAATTGTTATTATAAAGGTGATGTACAGAAGGGTTACAGTTACATGAGCCAGGTAAAGATTACTTCTAGGAGCTGAGAAGGTCGCTCAGCGGTAGAGCGCTTGCCTTGCATGCATGAGGCCCTGGGTTCGATTCCTCAGCACCACATAAGCAAAAAGAAAAAAGCCGGAAGTGGCACTGTGGCTCAAGTGGTAGAGCGCTCGTCTTGAGCTGAAGAGCTGAGGGACAGCGCCCAGGCCCAGAGGTCAAGCCCATGACCACCACCAACACTAACAACAAAATCTGTTTAGCGAAGGGAAGCAAACACTCAAATGACCCATTTCTTCTCACATTGGTCTTTGAAGATTCTAGATCCCAAAGGTAACCCTAGAGAAGGCCCTGCGGCTTAGGAGCTGCAGAGGTCTTATGATTGCATGCTAGTCAGGCACGTGGGGAGTGGTAGCTTGTGGGATAGCTCAGTTTCTGCTTTTTGGCTGGCAGCCTGGCCTTACCGGCAGGTGGGAAAGAAGACTGACACTGTCACCTTTTGGGCAGGTGTCAGCAGGGCCCAGAGCCAGGAGATTTCAAAATGTAAGGAAATCTTTCACTACAGGTGTTGCTGGCTTTGGGCTTAGAGAAGGGTAAATTTCTAGACTATTCTTCCAAGCCCACTAAGAGTGAGAAAGGACCTCAGTCATACACAGTGTGTGAGGTAGATATTGCTTTTCTGAGGACTGTTTATTTATTTAGTGTCAGGAATGGGGCTTGAACTCGGGGCCTAGGCCTTGTACCTTAGCTTTTTCCCTCAAAGTGGCTAGTGTGCTCTACTGCGTGAACCACAGCTCTACTTCTAGCTTTTTGCTGGTTTTAATTGGAGGTAAGCGTCTCAGAGAGTTTTCTGGCTGGGTTGGCTTTGAACCGTGATCCTCAGATCTCAGCCCCCTGAGTAGGCTTTCAAGCGTGATTCACTATGCCTGATCTCTATTTTATCAGTGTATAGAGAAATTATCAGTGTCCATAATCCCTAATTCACTCATGAAACTCAACCCTGTGGTTACAGGAGGTTACCACTGCCAGTGTGTGTGTATGACCATGTACGCATGCACGCACGCACGCATGCAGGTTAGTATTCGCGTCCTGGCTGGCCAACAGGCTCCGTTCCCAGATCCGGTGCATGGCAGTGTCAGCACTGTCATTCACTGCAGGGCCTGACGTCAGAGCTGGGTGCCCTGCATCACTGGGGCGTGAGCGTAGCAGGCACTTCCGCTCCAGAGCCTTCACCAGCCTATGGAGGCCTGGTCCTAGGCCTTGTGCCTAGAAACGCCCCGTGCCCTGTGGCCAGCCAGCGTGGGGCCTCCCAAGGGAGTTTTTCCTTGACTGGTGCCCGCCAGGGCTCTGTGCCCAGCATCTGTGCCCAGTGTGGTAACCACCAACCACAGACAAATGTAAGGTTGGTCTGTTCTTTCTTGTGTCCGTCCTGAGGCTTGAACTTAGGGCGTAGGTGCTGTCCCTGAGCTTTTTCACTCAAGGTTGGCATTATGCCACTTGAGCCACATCTCCACTTCCAGCTTTTTGGTGGCTCATTGGAGATAAGAGTCTCGAGGACTTTCCTGTCCGGGCTGGCTTCAAACCATGATCCTCACCACCTACAGAGTCCATAGGATTATAGGCATGAGCCATAGCACTCGGCCACATCAGGTGTTGGTTTTTTATCGGTGGTGGGGCTTGAACTCTGGGCCTGGACACTGTCCCTCAACTCTTCAGCTCAGGGCTAGTGCTCTACCACTTGAGCCACAGCGCCACTTCTGACCTTTTCTGTTTATGTGGAGCTGAGGAATTGAACCCAGGGCCTCATGCATACGAGGCAAGCACTCCACCACTGAGCCACCTTCCCACCCAGGTTTGGTTTTTGTTTTGTGTGTTTGTTTGTTTTTTGCCAGTCCTGGGGCTTGAACTCAGACCTGGGTGCAGTCCCTGATCCTTTCTGTGCTCAAAGCTAGTGCTCTACCACTTGAACCACAGCTCCACTCCTGGCTTTTTCTGTTTATGTGGTACTGAGGAATCGAACCCATAGCTTCATGCATGCTAGGCAAGCAACACTATACCATTAAGCCACATTCTAAGCCCCTGACATCATGCTTTTTTAATGTGGCAGACCCAAGACCCAGCCCATGGCTCCTCTGAGCTTTTGGCTAAGTGAATGGAGAGAGGACAAAGCCACAGGGCTGATGACTCACACCTAGTGACTTCCCAGGAACTCCAGAAGAACTGAAGGCTGGGCCTGCCTGCCGCCTTGCCCTGGGTCTGTGGGGGTGGGGGGACTGTCAGGGAGGGGCATGGCGAGGATCCAACCATTCCCTGAACTGCAGGTGAGCCGTGTAATTACTGTACAGCCTGTGGGTTAGCCACAGGGTGGTCCGGCTGAACAGCTGGTCTGAGAACCTGAGAGGAAAGCCCTAGAGCAATGGTAACACTCCGGAGAGGAGGCCAGACAGAGCCTGGTGGGCGGGAGACCCTGCTGGGTGGCAGGAGAGTCAGGGTAGTGCTAAGAGTCCCCCCCCCCCCCCCCCCCCCCGCCTTGTACAAAGGCAATATCAGTTTGCTGGTATTTCTGAGCTGGCAGTTTTGGAGATGAGAAAGCTGGGAGTAGAGGGCTGGGAACATTGCTTAGTGGTAGAGTGCTTGGAACCCTGGGTTCCATTCCCCAGTACCATATACACAGAAGAAGCCACAAGTGGCCCTGTGGTTCAAGTGGTAGAGTGCTAGCCTTGAGCAAAAGAAGCCCAGTAATAGTGCCCAGGTCCTAAGTTCAAGCCCCAAGAATGGCCAAAAAAAAAAGGAGTAGATAAAGATGAACTCAGCCAGGTGCTGGTGGCTCACACCTGTAATCCCAGCTACTCAGGAGGCTGAGATCTGAGGATTTCAGTTCAAAGCCAGCTCAGGCAGGAAAGTCCTTGAGACTCTTTATCTCCAAGAAACCACCAGAAAACCAGAAATGGCACTGTGGCTCAAGTGGTAGAGCACTTGCCTTGAGCTGAAGAGCTGAGGGACAGTACCCAGGCCCAGAGTTCAAGCCCCATGACTGACAGAAAAAAGAAAAGAAAAAGATAAACCCACAGTGAGTGTTCTTTTCTGTTTGTTTAATTGTGTTTTTGGCAGGGAAGTCAAATCATAGTGTTGGAGGATTAGAGGTGAGGAGGGACCAAAAAAAGCACCGGAGTGAAATTGGCCATGAGTAAGCAAGCTACGATCTCCTGCCTTCCTCATTGTTGCTGGGAAAAAAAGCACAGAATGTACCAAGTGCTTGCCATCTGAGCTACTCAGGAAAGTTGAGATGTGGAGGATCCAAGTTGAAAGCCGGCAGGAAAAATCCCTAAGAGTCTCACCTTTTGATTAGCCAGCAAAAAGCCAAAAATGGAGCCATGGCTCAACTGGTAGAGCACCAGCCTTGAATAACAGCAACAACAAAATGCTATGAGACAATGCACAGACCTCAAGTTCAAGCCCCAGTACTGACACAGAAGGAAGAAAAGTAGGATGAAGGATGTGATCTGTGCTGAGGTCACAGATTTGTAGTTGGTGGCCTTGGGGATGTACAGGAAACATCCAAGGGCCAGGGCCTGGGGGCGGGGGGGTCACTGCTGTCTGTTTATCAAAGAGGTGAGGGAGGGCAGGGCCATTTCTACAGACAGGCTTTCGGGTACAGGGAACAGCGTTTAGGCGAGAACCGTTGTCACACAGGCGGAAGTGGGTGCCAGAAAAAGACCTATCAAAGCAAGTTTAGGTCTTGGAGCTAAGACAAAACTTTGTTTTTTGTTTTTTTTTCAGTTGCTTGTAGAGCTTTAACTCAGGGCCTGGGTCCTGTCCCTGAGCTTTTTTGTTGTTGTTGTTGTTCAAAACTAGCGCTCTACCATTTTGAGCCACAGCTCTACTTCCAGGTTTTTGGTGGTTCAGTGGAGATCAGAGTCTCCCAGACTTTCCCCGCCTGGGCTGGCTTTGAACCTTGATCCTCAGATCTCAGTCTCCTGAGTGTCTGGGATTACAGGGGTGAGCCACGTGGTGCTGGTGCTAGGCTCTTATTTATTTATTTTTTTGTAAGCTAGCATTAGCATTGTTTTTTCCTGGGAATCTTCAGTCACCTCTAAGTGTCTATTTGTTTATTTAATCTTGTTCTTTTGCTTACAAATATCTGCTACTCTGGCTGTGCCTACTTGGGTGTGAAAGCTTCTTGGAAACACTTATCTTCCTTGCTGGGAATGAGATGTTTGGTTGGGAGCCCTGGGAATTAGATTTCCTTCCCAGCTCACCATACTCCCAGAGTCATTTGGGCTTTCCAGAAAAGACTTCACCCAACTCCCACTGAGAAGACCCAATGTTGTTAGGGCCAAGGAAAGGGAAGAGAACTTGGATCTCTCTAGATCTGGGCAGCTATTCTAGAACTGGTGTCCGCCACAACTTGCAAAGTTGAACAACTCAGCCTCGTGCAGAGTGGAAGATGCAGGTGCCCTCTGGCTGTTAGGCTGGAGGCTGCGGCCGCACTGCAGAGTCCAGCCTGCCCTTGGCCTTCAGCTCTGTTCCCACCTGCACTCCTAGGCCCTCAGACACACACCCTGAGCCTTTCCTGCCTCTTTGACCCCCATGAGTTCCTTTCTTCTCTCTCTCTCTTTTTTTTTTTTTTGCCACTTGTGGGTCCTGAACTCTGGGCCTGGGCGCTGTCCCTCAGCTCTTCAGTTCAAGGCTAGCGCTCTACCACTTGAGCCACAGCACCACTTCCGGCTTTTTTCTTTTTGCTTATGTGGTGCTGAGGAATCGAACCCAGGGCCTCAGGCATGCAAGGTAAGCGCTCTACCACTGAGCCACCTTCCCAGCCCCATGGGTTCCTTTCTTAGTCTATAATCATCTAATCTGACCTCATCTCCCCTCACTGGCTAATGCTTTTTTATTTTCTTATTTTGTGCCAGTCCTGGGGCTTGAACTCAGGGCCCAGGCACTGTCCCTGAGCTTTTTCACTCAAGGCTAGTGCTCTCCCACATTGAGCCACAGCTCCACTTAGGGTTTTCTGGTGGTTCATTAGAGATAAGAATCTATGGACTTTCCTACCTGGGCTGGCTTTGAACCCTGATCCTCAGATCTCAGCCTCCTGAGTAGCTGGGATGACAGGCGGGAGCTGCCAGCGCCTGCCTTGTGGTTCTCTTAGCTCATAGCGCATCCCTCTCTCCCTCCCTTTTATTTACTTATTTTTTTCTCTTGGTGACAGCTGGAAGTCACAGTGGTGACAACAGAGAGAGCCAAACATTTCTACAGCCCCCAGGATGTCCCGGTCACTCTCTTCAGTGACGCTGATGAATGGGAGGTCAGTGTGGGCCACCCCCTGTCCCCCAGAGTGGCCGAGTCCCATCGTATTCCTCGTCCGCCCTTCCCCAGCCCAATAGGACACAATGTCTGCAGCCCAGGGGCCTGGTGGCTGGAGCAAGCAGACACGCTGGCCTGGACTCCGTGGTCAGGGGCCATCTGGGCCGTGGAGATGAGGAAACATCTGTCTCACTTCTGGCCCGAGGGAGCGCCCCACCCCCCATCCCTCGGTCCACACCCCCACTGCACAGCTCGGCTCTGGCCCCGTGCCCTGAGGCTCAGTGTCCTTGGCTTTATCTAGGCTGGTGAGACCATGCCTGGCCCACGTGGGGCCCAAGAAGCTCCCTTCCCACGGCTGGCTGTCGGGCTCGGCCAGGCCTGCAGCAGCAGCAGCAGCAGCCGCCACAGCCTGCGAGGCCTTTTCTATAAAAAATAAACCAGTCTCAGCCTTGAACACTGCTGGCCTGGCCTCCCGTCCCCACCCCCTCCGTTTCTCACTGTCCCAGAGTCCTTCCCCCCCCCCCCCCCCCCCCCCAAGCCTGGACGACACCAGCATCCGCCCCAAGCAGACAGGCCAGGAACTCCCTGCCAGATGGCAGTTCTCAAGAAAAAAAAAAACCCAACCCTAAAGGGAGAGAGACAAGAGGTGCTTGTTCCCCTCCGGCCTGGCTTATGTCAGGCTGCTGGCTCAAGCGCTACGGCTCGCTGGCGTAAGCCACAAAGAGGAGGTGGGCATGGCAGAGGGCGGGGGACGGGGGGGATGCTCCCACGGGTCCCCCACCCCCCCTTCCCTTTCTCTGCCAGATGTGGAAAGGCCGCTCCGACCCCGTGCTCCACATCGACCTGCGCAGGTGGGCAGACCTCATGCTGGTGGCCCCCCTGGATGCCAACACTCTGGGCAAGGTGGCCGGTGGCCTCTGTGACAACCTGCTGGTGAGCCACGCTGGGGCCCTCTCCCTCCCCCGGGCTCCCACAGGGACAGCTGACCCCCCCACCCCCCCACCAGCACACCTGTCCTTGTGTTACCTGTGCCAGCAAGGGGCAGGAGTAGAACCCGCGTCCCATGCCCTGCTTGGTGCCCACCCTTTGCCCCTGCCTGCCTTCCTCCCTAGTCCTTTCAGCCACTCTGTTTCCCTCCTGCCCTTCCCTTCGGCTTGCCCTTTTCCCAGCAGGATGGATCTCACACACACATCTGTCTCCAGTAGCTTTAGCCCCAGGGCCCAGCCTCAGGGTCTCTATGTTAGGAAGGAATGAGGGTTGGCTGCTGGCCCCTGGGTGGCAGAAGAGTCCAGTTGCACTAACTAGGGATTTGGTGTAGGCCTGAGAGGCTGCCTTAAAGAGGTTCCTTTTTGGAGGCTGGGAAGGTGGCTTAGTGGTAGAGGGCTTGCCTAGCATGCATGAAGACTCTGGGTTCGATTCCTCAGTACCACAAGTGGCGCTGTGGCTCCAGTGGTCGAGTGCCAACCTTGAGCAAAAGAAGCTCAGTGCCCAGGCCCTGAGTTCCAGCCCCAGGACTGGCAAAAAAAAAAAAGAAAAAAAGGTCCTTTTTAAAAAATTTTATAATTTGCTGTCAGTACTAGGGCTTGAACTCCTTTCTTAGCTTTTTCTACTCAAGGGTGGTGCTCTACCCCTTGAGCCACATCTCTACTTCTTTTTGCTGGTTCATTGGAGATAAGCATCTGAGAAGACTTCCCTGCCTGGTCTGGTTTTGTTGAATAGCGATCCTCAGAACTCAGCCTCGTGAGCCACCGCACCAAGCCTGGAGGGATGGCTAGAAGCTGGGCCTGCTTCCTCCCATCCGGTTGGCTCTCTTTCCTCCGTGTTAGGGATCGTCCTGGTCTCCTGACTTGTGGGCTCTTGCTCGGGCCTCTGCCCCTGGCCCGCCCAGGCCCTGGCCCCTTGTGTTTGTGCTACACAAGCAATCAAATCCATAAGAAAAGGCCAATTCCTGGGGTGGCTGGCCTGACTTAAAGCCCTGACTCCCTCCAGACTGAGATCGGCTATCTGCACCACAGTGCAGGAACCCCCCCACCCCAGGTGTCGGACACAGTGGCCCCATAGTACCTGTGGGTCGAGGGAAGCGATTTCCTCCCCCCTCCCCCCCCCCCACTGCCAGCCAGTCTTCAGTCTGTGCAGGAAGTGGGGAGCTCTTGAGACAGAGAAGTGGGGGTGGGGGAGGGGAATATGTGGGGAGGCAGACACCCCAGGAGGCAGAGGTCTAGGGCTCTGCTGTGGGCCATTTGCTGTGTTTTGAGAATCCCCAACCCATGCCAGGTGCCAGTGGCGCACACCTGTCATCCCAGCTATTCAGGAAGCTGAGATCTGAGGATCCTGGTTCAAAGCCAGCCCGGGCAGGAAAGTCCATGAGGCTCTTATTTCCAATAAACCACCAAAAAGTTGGAAGTGGAACTGTGGCTCAAGGGGTAGAGCGCTAGCCTTGAGCAAAACAGTTCAGGAACAATGCTTAGCTCTGAGTTCAAGCCCCAAGACAGCACACACACACACACACCCCATATTAAAAAAATCCCTAGCTCACCCCTGGACTCTGTCTCTGTCTCTGTCTCTCTGTCTCTCTCTCTCTCACACACACACACACACACTCTCTCTCTCTCTCTCTCTTTCTCTCTCTCTCTCCCCGGGCTCTTCTAAATACGTTCCTGGCTTCTGCAAAAGGGGCAGGTGGCCCCGAGCCAAGAGGAAGTGTGACTAAAACCGGCCCGCTCACAGCCCGGTTGCTACATTGAGAGGCCTTGGTGGGAAACCAGCACTGGTGTCTGGGACGACGCAGGCAGCCAGGTCCCGGGGCTGTGCGCTGTGCACACGCAGGCAACCAGGTCCCGGGGCTGTGCGCTGTGCACACGCAGGCAGGGTGCCGAGGGACGGACGCGGCCCAGGCCTGAACATGGCATGGTTGTTCGCCCTGCCCTTTCCTTTTCCCAGCTGGTCTCCATTCCGAGGAAGTGGGGGTTCCGGCTCTCTTCTTTCCAGGGGCTCCTGCCTGGAAGAATGTGCCAGATGCCATTAGACCACAAGGGAGCTAATCCCTTCCTTCCTTCTTTCCTTCCTTCCTTCCTTCCTTCCTTCCTTCCTTCCTTCCTTCCTTCCTTCTCTCCTTCCCTCCTTCCCTCCCTCCCTCCCTCCCTCCCTCTCTGCTTCCCTGAAGCTGTGGCCCTGGCATTAAAAAATTCATCAGAGGAGTTGGAGGCGTGGCCCAGGTGGTAGAGCACCAGGCAGTGAGTGAACGCATCAGATGTTGAGTGTGAGCCCGGGCTTCGTGGGACTGTCCCGTGGAGAATGGGGCCGGGGTGGGCTCTGAGCCTGCAGGAGCGGCTGGGCACTTGCGCTGCTGGTGCCATCTGTGAGGACAGGGACACCAGCTGCCTTATAGGCTCCCCCTGAGGGTAGGAGAGAACGCATTTGTCCTGTATCTGAGCTTTGTGCCACTCCTGGGGCTTGATTGAACTCGGGGTCTGGACGTTGTCTCTTGAGTTTTTGCACTCAAGGCTGGCGCTCTACATACTTGAGCCACAGCTCCACTTCCAGCTTTTGCTGGCTCCTTGGAGATAAAGAGTCTCACGGACTCTTCCCTGCATGGGCTGCCTTTGAACCGTGATCCTCCGATCTCAGCCTCCTGAGTAGCTAGGATGACAGGCCTGAGCCTCGCTGTTCACGTTGAGCATTTGTGCTCTAACTTGCCTGCCAACTACACAGCCTGCCAGATGCGCCTCAGCCAGGCTGCTCCTACCCGGAAATGTCAGGTGGAGAAGGTTCAGGCTGTGCGGGAGGATGGATGGCCAGGTGGGGGGGGGGGGGACTTGGAGGGCCAGGGAGGGGTTGCAGGCAGGCCAACAGTGCCCGTCAGCACCCACTGGCCCCCCCTTCTTTGCAGACCTGTGTCATCCGTGCCTGGGACCGCAGCAAGCCGCTCCTCTTCTGCCCCGCCATGAACACGGCCATGTGGGAACACCCCGTCACCGCCCAGCAGATCGGCCAGCTCAAGGCCTTTGGCTACCAGGAGATTGCCTGTATAGCCAAGAAGCTGGTGTGTGGAGATCAAGGTGGGCATCGCGCCAGGCTCCTGGTGCCAGGCCTGGAAAGGGCTGTGCTTTGTGGTCGCCTCTGACATTTATTTTGTTTTAGTGCCAGTACTGGGACTTGAACTCAGGGCCTCATGTGCTCCCTTAGCTTTTTTTTTTTTTTGCCAGACCTGGGACTTGAACTCTGAGCTTGGACGCTGTCCCTGAGCTCCTTTCACTCAAGGCTAGTGAGCCTTGACACGGCACCACTTGAGCCACGGCACCACTTCCAGCTTTTTCTGTGATTAATTGAAGATGAGAGTCTCACAGACTTTCTTGCCCTGGCTGGACCCTGATCCTCAGATCTCAGCCTCCTGAGTAGCTAGGATTACAGGTGTGAGTCACCAGTGCTCAGCCTCTGTGTGTGTGTGTGTGTGTGTGTGAATGTGAATTCTAGGGCTTGAACTCAGGGCATAGGTGCTATCCCTGCACTTTTGTGCTCAAGGCTAGCATTCTACCACTTTGGGCCACAGCTCTACTTCTGATTTTCTGGTGGATCATTGAAGATAAAAATTTCATGTATGGGCTGGGAAGGTGGCTCAGTGGTAGAGCGCTTGCCTTGCATGCATGAGGCCCTGGGTTCGATTCCTCAGCACCACATAAGCAAAGAGAAAAAAGCCGGAAGTGGCACTGTGGCTCAACTGGTAGAGTGCTAGCCTTGAGCTGAAGAGCTGAGGGACAGCGCCCACGCCCAGAGTTCAGGCCCCACGACCAGACCCAAAAAAAAAAAATAATAATAATTTCATGTACTTTCCTGCCCAACCTGGCTTTGAACCGCAATCCTTAGATTTCAGCCTCCTGAGTAGCCAGGATTATAGGTGTTAATCACCAGTGCCCAGCATAGTGTGTGTATGTGTGTGTGTGTGTACCCATATTGGGGCTTAAACTCTGGGTCTTGCATTTTTAGCTTTTTTGCTGAAAGCTCATGCATAGTTTACTGCACAGCTCTACTTCCAGTTTTCTTTTTTCTTTTTCTTTTTCTTTTTTTTTGTCAGTTGTTGGACTTGAACTCAGGGCCTAGGCACTGTCCTTGAGCCTCTTTATGCTCAAGGTTAATGCTGAGGTACAGCGCCACTTTCATTTGTGTGTGTGTGTGTGTGTGTGTGTGTGTGTGTGTGTGTGTTTTGTGACTGGTTAATTGGAGATAAGAGTCTCATGGAGACTCTTCTACCTGGGCTGGCTTCCAACCGAGATCCTCAGATTTCATCCTCCTGAGTAGCTAGGATTACAGGCATGAGCCACCTGTACCTAGCTGGGTTTGTGTGTGTGTGTGTGTGTGTGTGTGTGTGTGTGCGTGTGCGTGTGCGCACGCACACGTGTGCACATGCATGTGTGTACTGAATTTGAACACTGGGCCTGTGTTCTTGCTTAGCTTTCTTTGCTCAAGGCTAATGCTTTACCACTCAAAACTCTCACAGGGGGCTGGGAAGGTGGCTCAGTGGTAGAGCGCTTGCCTTGCATGCATGAAGCCCTGGGTTCAATTCCTCAGGACCACGTAAGAAAAAAGCCAGAAGTGGTGCTGTGGCTCAAGTGGTAGAGCACTAGCCTTGAGCTAAAGAGCTGAGGGACAGCGCCCAGGCCCAGAGTTCAAGCCCCATGACCGACAAAAAAAAAAAAAAGAAAAAAGACTCAGAGCCTTTCCTGCCCTGGCTGGCTTCAAACCACAATCCTCAGCTCTTAGCCTCCTGAGTAGCTGGGTTTACAGGTGTGCGCCACTGGCACCTGACACATTGTGGTATTTTGTAATATTGGCCAAAGCAATTCTTTTTTTTTTTTGGTCGGTCGTGGGGCTTGAACTCTGGGCCTGGGCGCTGTCCCTCAGCTCTTCAACTCAAAGTGAGTGCTCTACCACCTGAGCTACAGCACCACTTCCAGTTTTCTGGTGGTTTATTGGAGATAAGAATCTCACAGACTTTCCTGCCCAGGCTGGCTTTGAACCGTGATCATCAGATCTCAGCCTCCTGAGTAGCTAGGATGACAAGTGTGAGCCACCGGTGCCCGGCTTGGCCAAAGCAATTCTGTGAGCTCCACTCTGCTGCCTGGATCATGGGAATTGGTTCCTGCCTCTCAGGTGGTTAGGGTAAAAGGAGACCCGTGTGGTATGCTGCGCGGAGCCGGGTGGAGCCTGGCAGGCATCATCACTGGTGCTGAGACTCGACTTCCCAGGCCTGTCCTGGGGTGTCTTGGGAGGGGTGTCGTGGGTCTGGCTGGGGCAGGGCTGGACCTCACCTCCCTCGTCCTTGGGCCCTGACTCGGGGCCTGGGGGGTGACTTGGAGAGCTCTGGGAGGGGGGTGCGGGCGGCGGCGGGTGGTGTTGGTCCCCCCTGGTCGGCTAGTCCTTAGCCACAGCGGAATTTCCCCTCCAGGTCTGGGGGCCATGGCTGAGGTGGACACCATCGTGGCTCAGGTGAAGGAGGTCCTCTCGCAGCAGGGTTGACTTGGGGCGTCCGTCTGAGCACAGCAACGGATGTCAAGACAAACGTGCCTTGGGTCTTGGGTTCGCCGCAGAGCAAGTGTCTGGAGCCTGGGCTGGAGCTTCTCCAGAGCCTGACCTCTCCCTGCTTGGCTAGACCCCAGGCCCAGGCCCCGGCTAAGCTTTTCACCAGGCCATGCCCACTTCCAGATGCTCCCCCCCCCCATCTCTTACCGGGTCAGCCCTAGGGCTTAGCACAGGGGAACAGGCTGCCGGTGCTCCTGGGAATTGCTTTCAGAAATACCCTCACTAACCAGGCACTAGTAGCTCACACCTGTAATCCCAGCTACTCAGGAAATTGAGATCCGAGGATCACAGTTCAAAGCCAGCCTGAACAGGAAAGTCGGTGAGACTCTTATCTCCAATGCACGACTAAAAAGGATGGGAGTGGCGCTGTGGCTCAAGTGGTAGAGCACTGACTTTGCACAAAGGAAGCTAAGGGACAGTGCTCAGGCCCTGGGTTCAAGCCCCAAGACTGGCACAAAAACAAAATGAAGGGACAATGCCCAGGCCCTGAGTTCAATCCCCAAGACTGGGCCCCCCAAAACACCATTCTTGGAGACCCCTTGTGAGGCAGAGCCTGACCGGATCTTGGAGCCTCTGCATGCAGGTGCGCATGCAGGCAGGAAGTCTGAGATACTGCAGGATTCTCACCTCTCCTAAACACGCTGTGAAATGGAGTGTCCAGAAATAAAGAAAAGTGACATTTCAGAGGAGTCTGACCCTCCTGACCGTGCGTGATCTCCCTTCAGAGAGCACTGCCAGGCGAGGCTGGGGACGGGTCTGAGCTGACATATGAACACACATAACGTGGATCTTAAGGACAAAGAGCTCCCGGTTCAAATCCCAGCTCTGCTACATCCCAGCAGTGGGCCTTGGCTAAAACTCCTGCCCTTTCTGACCTTCACGGTCCACAGCTTAACCCCACCCCACCCCCGACACACACACACAGCTGTTGAGATGTCTGAGTGAAGAAATGTGTGCAAAATGCAGTTCCCTCCCGGGGAACACTGTGGATCCATTCCAGTGGGGAAAGCTGCTCTTCCTCATGGCAGCCAGGAAGCAGAGGACTGGAAGGGGCAGGGCCAAGACACCACCAAAGGCCCGCCTCTCAAGGATCACTTCCTGCCCAGCTCTACCTTCCACTGTGTGTGTCTGTGTGTGTGTACGCGCGCGCATGTGCATATACGCACCTGCCCGCATACATGCACACACACACATGCCAGTAGTAGGACTTGAACTCAGGGCCTTGCAATATCACTTTGCTCTTTCCTTCAAGGCTGACTACCATTTGAGCCAAACCTCCACTTTCTGGCTTGTTGCTGGTTCATTGGAGATAAGTTTCACAGACTTTCCTGCCCAGACTGGCTTCAAACCCCAATCCTCTGATCTCAGCCTCCAGAGTAGCTCGGATTATGGACATAAGCCACCGGTGCCTGGCTTACTAGTGATGATTTTCAAAAATACATGGGGATGGGAAGGTGGCTCAGTAGTAGAGTGCTTGCCCTGCGTGCATGAAGACCTGGGTTCGATTCCTCAGCACCACCTAAGCAGAAAAAGCCAGAAGTGGCACTGTGGCTCAAGTGGTAGAGCACTAGCCTTGAGTTGAAGAGCTGAGGGACAGCGCCCAGGCCCTGAGTATAGATCCCACAACCGACCAAAAAAAAAACAAAGCAAAAGAAACCAGAAGTGACACTGTGGCTCAAGAGGTAGAGCACTCACCTTCAGCTGAAGAGCTGAGGGACAGCGCCCAGGCCCAGAGTTCAGGCCCCATGACTGGAAAAAAAAAAAAATCAAAAAAGTTTTCTTCCATCTTCATAAAATTTCTATATGACTGGGACATAAAATATACAGGACTCTAGGTGTTCACACACAGACACTTTTAGGAATATAAATGCGCCGTGTCTATGTGTCTCTCACCATATAAAATAATATGGAAATGGAAGCTTTTTCTGTTTTGCTGTTTTTGCTTTCTGTCTTGTCCATTTATCTGTTGTTGGGAGGGTAATGGGGGGCACAGAAATGGAGGGGCAAAGGGTGAACAAATATAGCAGGGGTGCTTACTGGACACTGGAAAATGAACCACTCAACTTGTGGGTGGGGACTAAAGGGAAAAATGGAGAGAGAGAGGGAAGGGGGGGGACACTGTCCAAAAATAAACACACTTTTGTCGGTCTTGGGGCTTGAACTCTGGGTCTGGACACTGTCCCTCAGCTCTTCAGCTCAAGGCAAGTGCTCTACCACTTGAGCCACAGTGCCACTTCTGCTTTTCTGGTGGTTCATTGGACATAAGAGTCTCATGGACTTTCCTGCCTGGGTTGGAATTGAACTGCAATCCTCAGATCTTAGCCTCCTAAGTAGCTAGGATTACAGGCATGAGCCACCAGCGCCTGGCAAGAAATGTGCTGTTTACCTGACATACCTAACTGTAACCCTTGTGTACATCTCCTTTATAAGAAGAATTTTTAAAAATGTTTTTAAATTCTATGTGAACAGTACCAAGAACCAACCAGCACTGGTGGCTCACACCTATAATCCTAACCACCCCAGAGGCTCATAGCTGACAATTGAGGTTCAAAGCCAGCATTGGCAGGAAAGAAGGCCATGAGAATCATCTCCAGTGAGCCACCAGAAAACCAGAAGTGGTGCTATGGCTCAGTTGTAGCATGCTAGCTTTGAGCAAAAGAGCTCAGGGACAGCATCTGGGCCCCCAGTTCAAGCCCCACGACCAGCAAAAATAAATAAAAAGCATTTGTGTCTGAAATGCACACTCGTACTGCTTTTCAGCCTGGAGCTCTTCAAGTCTGCTGTAGCTACCCCTGGGAGAGAGGCCTAGGCCTCCAAGCCCGGCCCCAGCCTCCTCCCTGGGCAGACTCCAGATCGCCCTTCCTCATGGCTCCCTGCCGGCTTCAGTGAGGCTGGGTTCCAGGGCGGCCTTCATGCTGCCGGCCTTGCCTGTGCTTTAGCTGCCTTGACCACACACATGGTAGGCTTGCAGGGGGCCTGGCTGCTTGTCCTGCCTTTGTGCAGCCTATGTGTGCGCGCATGCGCACACACACACCCCTGTACTGGGACTTGAACCCAGGACCTCTTGTTTGCCTTTTGCTGCTCACGATGGATATTCAGAGTCACTTGCCACCAGACCTATACCCTCAGCTCTCTGCTGGTTCTCTGCTGGTGAGAAGATGTCTCATAGACTTCTTGCCTGGGATGGCTTCACACCTTGATCCTCAGGCCTCAGCCTCTTGAGCAGCTGGGATTCCAGGCGTGAGGCACCAGTGTCTGGCTCACTGTTGCTTCTACTGGAAGGGCCTGCCTCACCTGGCTGAGTCCTTGGGGTACCTTTAGAGGTCCCCGGTGTCATCTCTGGAAAGCCTTCCTTGGCCAACTCAGGCTGGATGAGGACATCCTCACCCCATCTTCCTGTCCTGGCTTATTTGGTGTTCTTTCTTTGAGATCTCTTGGCGAGCAGCTGCTGTCAGTCAGTACAGGACCCAACAAGCCTTTCCACTCGACTTTTATTGCACTGACCAAAAGAGAAAGGGAGGGAGGGATCCGAGGGATTGGGGGATGGGAGGGTTACCGTCCAGTCCTTTCTGAGCAAGCAAAACACCTGGGGATTGTAAAAGCAAAGACGGACTAAGTTTGAATGCGGAATAGCCCCAAGGCAAGGCTAAAAGGCTGGTTGTAAAGTGGCTCATGTGGTGTAATGCCTGTCCAGCAACTGCTAAGGCCGTGAGTTCAAGCCCCAGTGCCACCACAAAAACCAACAACAAAAAGTCACATTTTCCCAACAACTAGGATAATTAACTGTAGTTCTTTTTTTTTTCCCCCTCCAGTCCTAGGGCTTAAATTCCAGCCCTGAGCTCTGTCTCTGAGCTGCTTTTTTTGCTGAAGGCTACTCTACCACTTGAGCCACAGCGCCACTTCCAGCTTTTTCTGTGCATGTGGTACTGAGGAATTGAACCCCGGGGTCTCATGCATGCTAGGCAAGCACGCTACCACTGAGCCACCTTCCCAGCCCCCCCCCCCTTTTTTTTTTCTTTCAGTTGTGAGGCTTGAACTCTGGGCCTGGGCAGTGTCCCTCAGCTCTTCAGCTCAAGGCGAGCGCTGTACCACTTGGGCCACAACACCACTTCCGATTTTCTGGTGATTAATTGGAGGTAAGAGTCTCCTGGATTTTCCTGCCCGGGCTGGCTTTGAACTGTGATCCTCAGACCTCAGCCTCTACAGTTAGAGTAGCTCTAACTGTAGTTCTTAAAGGGCTGATTCCCTTAATGCTTTCGGATCTTTTATCTATTGGAGTGTTTGAGACCAAGTTTTGGTGTGTGGCCCAGGCTGCCTATGAGCCCACACTCCCCTGCCTCAGCCTTCCATATGCTGGGACTCCAAGTGCATGCAAGTGCATCCCTAGAAGACTAGGGAAAACGAGGCAGAGTAAGTGGCTGCCAGGAATTGAAAAATGTTCCCGTAAGCTTAAAGCTTGTCCATCTACTTCCCTTAAGATTAAGGGAACATTTTAGGGGAAATGAAGCAGGATAGACTAAGAGAAAATGAGGTATGGTCAGCTGATAGCCAATACAGGAGATACGCATTCGTGTCCTTCCCTGAAGATTAAGGGAACAGGGCTGGGAATGTGGCTTAGTGGCAGAGTGCATGCCTAGCATGCATGAAGCCCTGGGTTCGATTCCTCAGTACCACATACACAGAAATAACCCTGAAGTGGTGCTGTGGCTCTAGTGGTAGAGTGCTAGCCTTGAGCAAAAGAAGCCCAGGGACAGTGCCCAGGCCCCAAGTTCAAGCTCTAAGCCTGGCTAAGAATAAAAGAAAAAAGATTAAGGGAACAAATCATTTAGGGGAGAATGATGCAGGATAAATGGAGGAAAATAAGGCCTGCGGAAGGTAACTCAGAACCATAGTATTTAGAAACATAGAAGGGCCAGCTATGTTCCAAAGGAAAACAATAGAAGGCATTCCTCAGCCCCCACAAAGTGAACATTTGTGTGGCAGGATGTGTGCCTTTCTGAGAGAAATGCTTCCCCCAAACAGTAAGCAACCTCCGACCCAAAATGCAAACATGAGCCTTCCTTATCTCAATGGTAAGTGTCTAGTTCTGTGGCAGGATGCATTCTTACCAGGAGAGAATGCCAAGGCGTCCCGAAACTCAGAAAGTAATGCCAGGAGTGATCTGAGCAAAGACAAAGCACCTGTCTGCACAACTTAAAGCCAGACCCCCTGCCTTTACCATTTAAACACCCCTGACAGCCAAGGGGCTGTGTGTGTGT